TCTTCTACTAGCAAGAATTAATAAAATGAATAAGAAATTGGAGCATGGATCGTCCTTTCAGTTGGTAGAATAAGCCTTCAAACATGGGGTTAGACCATTGGAAGTTTGATGATTCTTTTTGTATGATGCTTGTCAATTTTCATTTGCTGATTATTAAATACAAAACCAGGACTCTTCCACGAGTGGGAATTAATGAAATAAATAAGAAATTAGACCATGGATCATACGTCTCATACATAGAATTAGCCTTCAAACATGGGATTTGACGTTTCATAGTCTGATCTTTTCTTTTATATTTGTAAACTAGTAATATTTGTTTGAATTTTAGACAAATTCGGTTTGTAAATGTTTGAGAGCATCATTAGGAAGACCTAGAACCACTACTTTAACATAATTGACCAATCAACCTCTCCGCTACTATAACTACACTCTTTGAAACCTCAATTTATGCCCAATAATTCCAAATAAATCCAGTTTGAAGATGTTTGAGAGTATCCTTAGGAAGACCTAGGACCATTATTTTAACACTGTTGACCAACGTTTAATCAATCCATTTATATCAACCCCTCCGCAAACATCATTAAACAGGAAAGTATCATTTGTGTCCAAAAATTCTGAACAAATCCTGTTTGTAAATGTTTGAGAGCATCCTTAGGAAGACCTAGAACTACTATTTTAATATTGGTGACCAACGTTTAATCAATCCATTAATATTAACCCCTCCACGAACATCATTAAACATGAAAGTATCATTTGTGTCCAAAAGTTCTGAAAAAATCCTGTTTTAAATGTTTAAGAGCATCTTTAGAAAGAACCAGAACCACTATTTTAACACAGTTGACCAATCAACATCCTCCACTACTATAACCACCCTCTTTGAAAGCACAATTTGTGCCCAAGAATTGCAAATAAATCCAGTTTGAAGATGTTTGGGAGCATTTTTAGAAAGAACTAGAACCACTACTTTAACACAGTTGACCAATCAACCCCTAACATAACTACCCTCTTTGAAAGCACAACTTGTGACAAAGAATTCCAAATACATCCAGTTTGGAGATGATTGGGAGCATCTTTAGAAAGAACTAGAACCACTATTTTAACACTATTAACCAATCTCAACCCCTCCACTAGAATAACCACCATCTTTGAAAGCACAATTTGTACCCAAAATTTCCAAATAAATCCAGTTTGAAGATGTTTGGGAGCATCCTTAGAAAGTACTAGAACCACTATTTCAACACAGTTGACCAATCATCCCCTAACATAACTACCCTCTTTGAAAGCACAATTTGTGCCCAATAATTCCAAACAAATCCACTTTACAATTGTGTCAACCCATTTTTTAGGAATCCCCGCCGATAGAGTCGCGATAATAACGCGCCTCTGCAACGTTCGTAAACAGTTGTGCCATAATCAAGGCGTTTGTTCCCGCGCGGAAGACAAGAGCGGACGTTTTTCCGTTTCCCCTGGCGGAGAAACCGGGGGAAAATGACGGTTCTATGCAGCGAGCGGGAATTAACGTCGCGCAACAATTTAATTACCAATACACTCGACCGTCGCGCGGATTTAAAAGAGGCCGAACGCTCTTTGCGAGCGAACGGGCAGTGTCGTTGACCCGGACCAGGTGAATTCGAAATGCTACGGCGCGGATTGTTCGAACGCCGTGGGGTCGGGGGCGGCTCGATACTTCCGGCGATTACGTCCGCGAACTATTAAATTCGCTCGCCTTTGACTTAGCCGCGTATTAATCGGGTAACGATATTAAAAAACGAGGAGATAAAACAATTTTCGTGTCGCGTTTTTCCAAAGTGGGGGGTGGGGTGGGGTGGCTGTTTCGACGATACGGTAAAAATACACCGTATCGTTGGCGGTGGCGCCCGATGACCCGGGACCTGGGTCGAGCTACCGGCAGTTTCGCAATTGGGACAAATTTTAGATAACTCGATATCGTCCCGACGATCGTGTTGACATTTAATCACGATAAAGCGCCACGCGCTGCGCTACGTTTATTATAGACGCGGTCAGTTCGATGTTACAAGCGCTAAAATTCATCTACGGGTCTAACGAGGCCCTCAAAAGATGTTGAAAATTAAGATTTGAAAAAAGGTAATCAGTTAGAAGAGGTTGCAACGTCAAACATGTGCTCGAAGAATTGTTTTATAGATCTATAATTTCGTATTTAATAATCAGAAAATAAAAATTAACAAATATTACTTACTGGTTTATAAAAAAAACAATCTACGATGATTCGATTTGCTTTAGCCAACTGTAATCTAAGAGACATTTTCAGGGTTTTATAGTTTATATTCGACAGCCCCAAACGTAGAATTTTCCAGCTCTATTTCAGGGAATTTATTTATTTATTTAGAAAAATTTTAATGGGGGATTCTAGAGGCCAAAATAAGACGAAAATCAAGAATACCAATTTCTCGATTGAGGCTTCGTTAACAAGTTATTAACGTTTAAAGCTCCACGCACGCAGCGCGCCCTGTCCCGTCTCACATATGCAACTTTAAACGTTAATAACTTTTTAACGAAGCCTCAATCAACAAATTGCTATTCTTGATTTTCGTCTTATTTTGGGCTCTAGAATCCCCCATTACAATTTTTTCCACGATTGGGCCAATACCCTAAATAAAAATATTAATCGCGAAGAATGTAAACTACTGTCCACAATTTGTGAACTATTCTAATAATAAAACGGGGAATTACTAAACACAAAATGGTTTTATTTCCAACAGATAAAACCAAAGTATCCACGAGTGATATTTATTAATATTCTCCACGTCCCCATTGCACATAATGGTAATACGATACAGAAAGGGTAAAGCAAAGGTAAAATAGTATACAAAGGTGGATTAAACGGCAGAGAACGGGAGTGTAAATAAATTTGTGAGCGTAATGGGGGTGAAATGAATGCAGTGCCCTTTCGATGCTGTGCAATAATCGATTAATAAACATGCCACGTTTCTTTACATATCAAAGTCAAGCTGGGCGAAAACGACGTTACCGGAAGCCGTGGTCTCGACGAGGGAGGGGGAAGCACCACGGTGGCCGTAGGTCGACTTCGGCTCGCTTTTACCGCAAATACACTCGAGAGGATCGTGGAAGCCACTCCACCGAAAAATTACCAGTTTCAAGGAGGCCTCGCGACAGGGAAAATCGTTGTTTTACCTCGCCCCGTTCTCGAGTTGGACGCGCGGAAAGCAAATTTGCAAACACTCTATCCCCCCCCCCTCGTTGCATGTCGCGAGCTCAGAACTGCGTAATTGCTCCGCGAAATTAACGTATCGACCCAAAAAACACATCCAAAACAGTCAATTTTTCTACAAAAATATCTGATTACTGGTACAATTTTTAATTCTCGTTTACGAATTATTATTTTAGTTTCGTTGCAGTTATTGATGTGGATTGTCAAATGTTTATAATAACCTCAAAAATTAAAATTTTATCACAATTTACAATTAAGTGATACGTTTATGAGCTAACAATTATCTATCTTTGACTGCAATTTGCCTTGTTAAATATTTATATAAAATTCAAAAATTAAAATTTGATGAGCTTCACAATTTACAATTAAATTAGTAGTCTCTATTTATAAAATAACAATTATCTATCTTTGACTGCAATTTGCCTTGTCAAATATTTTCAATAAATTCAAAAATTAAAATTTTATCAATATTTACAATGAAATTATGACTTTAACAATTATCTATCTATGACCACTGTTCTCTACCACAACTAAAAAAATATTTTTTTTTCTACACTTAATTTCCACCCCTCCTAATAAATAAATATTAAATACTTCATAATTTCAAACTTTTCCCTAGATTCTATTTTCTGCAAACAACAAATCAAACAGTTTTTCTTGTGGATCCAACAGCAGCTAACACTATTTTCCTCCATTTACCATAACTCTACCAAGAACCATCCATCTTGATATTTGGTCTGCCACGAGTTTGCACACCGAAAACGTACGCGTTTCGCCTCCACCTTTCCCTCGAATTATGTTGATACAGTTCTTCTCAGTTTTTTTTCCATTTTTCACGCACGGACTCTACAAACAACGCCCTCTCAACCCCTCCAGGTCCGTCTGTAATTGAGATTTTTCTAGCGTGCTCCGATCCGTATTTATTTTTCCGCCAAGTAGGCTGGGCGTTTTTTTCCCCCCTCCTGCATTCGAGACATAGACAAACAAATTTCGTTTTGGATGACTCTTCTGGGACAGGAGGGGAAACAAACTCTGGAAAATATTCTCCCAGTATCGCTGTCGATGGTCTCAGTCGACCTGGAATTAATTTCCATCGATTTTTCACGATTTTTCCACGGATTATTTATATTTTTCCACCCCAAAAAGTGTGATTAATATTTAAATCACGTCAGAAAAATATTTCTCAAATTTCGTGGTCTTTTTGGTCCTCTGAAATCGATCAGCTTTTTCAAATCGTTCGAAATATTATTATTGGCGGATGTATGAAACGATGAAAGTCGAGTTTGAGGGCTTCGATGGATTATATTAAACTTCTTCGAAAAGTTTCCACCCTGTCACGAGGTGTCGCGAACTTTGATTTCAATTCGGATTACATCTATGGAAACTATCGAACGTGGGGAAACCCTGGGCAATAGATGTTGAAACGGCTTTCCAAGCTACTTGGAACAATGGTCAATTTAACAATATTTTACTGCAATTTTGGGGCAAAATATATCAATTTTCCCAGTGAATAAAAATGCAGACGATCTCTATCTATTTTTCTCAGTGTTTAGATCTGAATTTTCCACCCCTTTTGAGAGATCAACTTAAATAAAATGTATGTACCACTTTAGGATACAAGTTTTAGGTTATGGTGGTCACCAGTGACCGTCATTTTAATGGTGACCATCGTGGTGGTCATCAGTGACCATCACTTTAGTGTTCATCGTCATGGTGGTCACAGGTGACCGTCAGTATTTCAGTGTTGACTGTCATGGTGGTCACCAGTGAGCGTCACTTTAATGCTGACCATCGTGGTGGTCACCAGTGACCATCACTTCAGTGTTCATCGTCATGGTGGTCACAGGTGACCGTCAGTATTTCAGTGTTGACTGTCATGGTGGTCACCAGTGAGCGTCACTTTAATGCTGACCATCGTGGTGGTCACCAGTGACCATCACTTCAGTGTTGACTGTCATGGTGGTCACCAGTGTGTCATTTTAAACGTATAAAAATATTGACTAACATGGTGGTCACCAGTGACCATAATTTTAAACATACAACATAAGATTCAAACATAATAAAATTAAACGAGTAAACAAACAAAGCAGTATTCGGAGGAGGAACGAAAAAATATTTTATTACAATTTTAAAACATATAAATTTTCCAAAGAATAAAAAATGCAGAGGATCTCCATCCCCACGAGAAAACCAAGTTAAATAAAAAGTATGAATCACTATTCAAAAAGCAAATTTTAGAAACGAACCCTTAAATCTGTAATCCCCAAAGAGCCCCGGAGCTTAATCGATTAAATTAATTAAACGAGTAAGTAAACGAACTAAGCATTACGCGGGGGAGGATCGAGTTACATCCAGAGAGAGGTATTTCGAAATTTTTTCCACGGAGAGAAACGTTTTAACGTTTTTTCGAGTAGCGTTCGCGAATATCCAATTAACGGGTCTCCGTTTTCAGTTTTTAGATTTTTTCAACGGACGTCAGAGGGCGAGGGGGCGGTGGGGGTAAAAAAAATATTTTTCGACGCAAACGCACGGGGGAGTAAAAAATAAAAATAAAAATAGTGAAGTTCCCGATTCTCCACGATTCTCTAACCCTCCCTCCCCGCGCGCGATGAAACCCACAGTTTCGATCGATTTAATCTTGTGCATTTCCGGCCTGCGAACGAAACGTCATCGGGACCCGACCAGTCGGTCGAATTTTTTTTTTTTTTTTTTACCCCTCCAAATTTTCGCCACGGCAATTTCCGTTCGACGATTTAATCCGCGCGTCCACCCTCCCCCTCCACTTCGACTGTTCTGTGCTCTCCTTCACTGTGGAGGAGAACAGAACGCGTCAAAAAAGCGGGTCGAAGTTGAATCGCGGGGATCACCCTTGTTTTCGATGAATAAAAAAATATGTATTGTCTTTGATGATTTGGGGAGCTCTATGTTTTGGGTTAGAATCAGTGTAGAAAAGGGGGATGTGTATTTGGAATTAATTGCAATTGCAATATGTGGTCAATATTTTGAAGTTAACAGGAAGAAATTTTTGTAATATGTTGACTAAGATGGCGGTCACCGGTGACCATCACTTTAGTGTTCACCGTCGTGGTGGTCACCGGCGACCGTCACACAATTAAATAATAAGAAACCCCCTACTATACAAACATAGGAAAATAGTAATTGGATAAAAGCATAAATTAAATTACCCTCGAAAGTTTTAGAATAGAAATAGAATGAAAGGGGTGGAGATTATTTACATTGAAAACCTAAAATAATATTAATAAAATAATAAACAACTTTGACAAAAATAGTTGCAAAATAATAGAACACAATTTTCCACCTGAAAGCCTTCCATATCTATTGTCCATACAATAACACACAATATCCAATGTATAGCCTGTACCAAAAAAAATTTGCCTCCCACAATTTCGAAAAATTTTTTAATTAAAGTTGCGGCATTTTTGAGGATAGTATTTGCCCGCAATTTGAACAGAAAAAGATTGAAAGGAATGGAGATTATTAACAATGAAACTCTAAAATAATACTAATAAAATAATAAACAACTTTGATAAAAACAGCTTATAATACAATACAATTTTCCACCTGAAAGCCTTTTATATCTATTGTCCATACAATACCACACAATACCCGATGTATAGCATGAACCAAAAAACATTTGCCTCGCTCGGTTCCGTAAAATTATCAAATCAAAGTCGCGGGCGTATCCGCGAGTGGTTTTACGTCCGCGAAAATTCCGGCGTCGCGACTGCTCAGACCCTGCATTACAATACGCCCCCGTCGTCGAACTTTTCCGCCCCCCGAACTTTTGCGCCCCGTAATCCCGCGACGCGTGCACCGGCGCGCCCGAGAACAACGGGCCGGGGCTTAATCGAAAAAGTGGCGCGCGCGCGGGCCAGATTCGAAGTTTAATCATGAATCTTGAATGAGAGCGTCGAGCCACGTCGATCTCCCGGGGGTTATTTCGATATTTCCTGCAGATGGTCGCGGCTCACGCGGGCCCGTTCTCGCGCCGGAGGTAAACGCGAGTCGAAGCACGAACGACGACCTCCCACCTCCCCTCCCCCTCGAATGCAACGCTGTACTTTTCTTCTATTTCTTTCTTTTTTTTTCTTTCTCGCTCAACCACGGAAATTCCATTTCGACGTGTGTGCTGTGTGTTTGTGACCCCGATTCACGCCTATACGCGTCATTTAGCCTCGCGACAACCTCGACTTCGAGAGTGTTGCTCGATATTGCGAACAGACTATGGGGATCCAAACAATGTAAATGTATTCGTCATCGGTTATCAACCGGATTCTAAATCGATGACATGTGCGATTCTTTATTAAAAATACCTTCTTTTACCTTAACCTGTTTACATTCTACATTGCATAATCTAGGGATTTATTTTTAACAGTATATGGTAACTAGATGGTTTAAACATGCAATTCTTAATTTCTATTGGACGGTGTATATTTCTTTATCGGGATATTTACTACCAAACTATTTCACTTAAAGTACTTATTACAGGCTTGATAAAGTTGCACGCGATGAAATTGTAACATACAATTTTAGAACTAGGACTAAAAAAGACTCGATTATTAATACATTCTGGGTAATTTAAAAAGAGGGAGTACATTGAATTTAGTGGAAATTTTATTAAACAGTAAATTTGATTGAAAAGACACCCTATAGATAAGAGAAATTTTATTTGGAGATGACTATACTTAGATTGTTTTTTAATATAAATAACAAGGAATTTTTTAAATATCAAATTTATAATATAATTATTAAAATATTCTGGCAAATTTAGAAAGGGGTGGTATATTGAGCTCGAAGGAAATTTTACTAGTGATTTAAATTGCTATCAAAAAATTGTAAAATATTTTTCAATCAAGTGCATTTTGACATTAGAAATTTTTAAAAATTGTAAAATATTTTTCAATCAAGTTTTCTGACACCAGAAATTTTACAAAGTTAGAAAACATTTTTCAATTAAGTGCTTTTTGACATTAGAAATTTTTAAAAATTGTAAAATATTTTTCAATCAAGTAACACAAGAAATTCAAAAAAGTTGTAAAATATCTTCTAATCAAGTGGTTCGACACTAGAAATTTCATAAAGTTGTAAAATGTTTTTTAATTGTGTTAAACTCCCTTCCAAACCAGTTCTATTCGACCATACACAGCATCGATCCGTAAACTCGCGAGCGATGCGGTGTTTTCCCCTATATTTTTCTGTTTGTCGAACGTTGATTGGGTAACGGCCGATATTCCAAATTTCATCCGTGCGCGTAAATATGCCATATTTACGTACAAATTAATCTAGTCGAATGCATCAACGGTATCACGAATGAAAAGACCTTGTTTAATCAATCAAGAAAATTTAATAATTAACACGCATTCCAGAGTCTCCTTTGTAAACAATCGAATAATAAATTTATATTCCAAGTTGCTCAAACAACATTTAACTCTGAGCTGGATTAGAGAACATCTGGATTCCCCATTATTTATCTAAAATTTCCATTGGAATTATTTTAATCTAGGATCAACAGTTTACTCGAAAATATTGTATTTGATAGCTGTGTATTAAATAATAAACTTTTATTCCAAATTACTCAAACAATATTTAACTCTGAGCTGGATTAGAGAACATCTGGATTCCCCATTATTTATCTAAAATTTCCATTGGAATTATTTTAATCTAGGATCAACAGTTTACTCGAAAATATTGTATTTGATAGCTGTGTATTAAATAATAAACTTTTATTCCAAGTTACTCAAACAATATTTAACTCTGAGCTGGATTAGAGAAGATCGGGATTCCCCATTATTTATCTATCATTTATCTAGAATTTTCATTGAAACTATTTTAATCTAGTATCGACATTTTACTCGAAAATATTGAGTTTGATAGCCGTGTATTAAATAATAAAATTCTAAGTTGTTCGAACAATAACACCTAAGCTGGATTAGAGAAAATCTGAGTTTTCCATTTATATCGTCGGAACACGAGGAACACGACGCAGGAACGATTGTTATTTCGCAAATCTAGCGTCCTTCGACTAACGAGATACCTACTGCGTTTTTAATTGCATTCCTTCGCAGGGGGAATCCTGATGGCGTAAAACTGTGCGTTACAAAAGCCTCGAATTCAGAGGCGAACGGGTGGCAAGAAAATATCGCGACGCATCCGACGCGACGTCCGGATGGGACCCGGGGACGCTGTAACGACGTTTCCGCGTTTCGAATGGCCGGGGCACGGAAAAAGGGATCCAAAGGGGGGAAGGAAAAACTGTCGCGGATCTCCTCGTTAACGAGGATCGCGGGACCTTTGTACCGGTCCGGAGGCAAAAGGTGGAGAACGTAGGTGGTAAAAAACACTCGGTGTGGATATAGGCGACGACCCCCTCCTGTCTCCGGAAGCTGCTTACTCTGAATTCTTCTCCTCCGATTCATCCATCGGTGATCCAAATTTTCATCCAGAAATTAAAACGTGCCTTTAGTAGAACATGTTTCTATCTATCGGTGTACTTAAAACTATTTTCTAGGTGAATGGGTCGCTGAACTATTTATTAGAGCTTCTATCAGTTCGGTGTCTTAAATATCATTTACATCTATGTACTTAAAACTATTTTCTAGGTGAATGGGTCGCTGAACTATTTATTAGTTTCTATCAGTTCGTAGTATGGTAATAACTAGTAACGATAGTGATAATAAAATTGTACAACTATTTGATATTGCGTTGTATGAAGTCCTGTTACCTTTGTATTCTATGCTGCGCATAGTTTGTTACTCTTACACAGCAGTGTTGGTTAATGCGATAATTTGAAGAATGTATTCTTCGCAACGAAGGTGCTTCGTAGCTCCCTATGGTACATCTATGACGTTAATAAATGGAACTATGTAACACTGAGAAGAATAGTAATATTCAAAGTATAATGTGGACAGCTAAGATTTACTGGGGGCTAATACAATAATTCTATAAATTTATTCTTTGGAAGCGAAGGTGCTGTGTAGCCCCCTACAGTTAATAAATGGAATTACATAACACTGAGAAGAATAGTAATATTCAACGTATGATGTGGACAGTGGGGTTGATACAATAATTCTATAAATATATTCTTCACAAGCAAAGGTGTTGTACAGCCTCCTGTATGTCTACAACTTAATAAATAACACTGAGAAGAATCGTAATATTTTAAATAATTTCAGCAATAATATGGAACAACACAATGTTTACGCTTTTGTTCACTACCGAAGTCGTTATTCTTCGCAAAGTACCCCTAAAATGTTAACAAACAAAAATATATAACACTCAGAAGAATAGTAACACTCAAAGTATTTTCACAAATATCTGGTCGAAATATAGACAGCGAAGAATACTTACTGCGTAGCAACAAGGGCACATAACCTTAAACGTCACTATGTTTACACTACCGAAGAGAACGTCTTGAAAGTTAGTCGAGAATTGAGGCCGCTGAGTGGAGGGGATGGCCCAGACCTCGAGCTCTCCTCTCCCACCAACTGGACTTCCCCACTCCCAAACTGGGCCTCGTCTCTCTCTCTCTCTCTCTCTCTCCCCACCACGAAAGCTTCGTGACTCGCGGTGTGAGTCACGGTACCTACTAGGCGGGTAATTAACCTAATTTCAAACGAAAAAGTAACTGTGGTTGAGTTTTAACATCGATATGTTAATTATTACTTCCTTTCTCGTGGTGAAAAATTCAATTGGGCATACAAAAGAAGTGGGACCTTTAAAATGACTACAAGAAAGTTGCTATAAGATTTCATAAAGTTAGGATAGTTTAAACATTGTTCTATGTAACACTAGGTTAAGGGAAAGGCCACCATTAATGATGTAGTTATTATTACTTTAATAATACTTTACTATAAATAAAAATGGGGCATGATGTTTCACCATCGAGTACTACGAACATTCTAGGCATCGCGCGGGGGAGTCCCATTAGGATAAGTCTAACAGATGGCGACACTGCATTTCTCAACAAAGGGAACTCGAGTTTCAGCTCCCATATTTCAAATTACAGTTAACTTAACAATGTAAATACCAATATGTATATCCTACTTAAAAGAAAACCCGCATTTTAATAAACCTATCTCAAATCTAGTGTTAAAAAGTAACAAGAAAGACTTAAGAATCGACTGGAGTCCTCTTAACCCTTTGACTACTCGGTCAGTCAATTGACTGCGTGCGTTAAACACCCTTGCTTCGCAATCTACCATAGTCAAAGGGTTAAGGAAACGTTAGCTTCCGATTCTAATTTAGCCAGGAATTGGGGCTATCGTTGAGCGCCGACCAAGGTTGTTTCGGGCATCCTGGGAGACTTTGGTCCTTGTTTGACGTCCTAGGATACCAGGGGGGCGGTCTGGGAGTCGCTTATCGTCCGTTTTCCCGTTTAATGTTCTCAGTTCGGTCCCGATTGTACCGGACAATGGAGTCCCGGCATTCCATCACGATACACCGAATCCGCGTAATGAAAACGGCCAGTGCAGAGGGTGCGGAGGGCGCACGGATTCCTCGCGGTACACGGAAACTAGCACGCTGGCAAAAAAGGGAGCCTGGACGAGAGGGGGGGGGGAGGACTCTGGCCGGGTTTGTAGTACGCGATAATTCACTCTCGGTCGCAGAGGCGGCAGCCTCTGGAAATGGAGTCACCACCCCCTCGGAGTCACCGGTCCCCGTGGGCTGGCGAAGGGGTGGCCGGCTTAAACGGGTTTGTATCCTCGATGAGAGCGAAATTAGGTTAGCGCGAAAACAGCCTATACACCGTACTCGCCTCTCTTTCGTGACTGGTGCAACCTACACCACCTCCGGATGTTACGTGTGCAACGCCACCCCCTTGGATCATCTCGAGGAACCCCCTCTGTACTGTTTTCCCTCGCAAGGATAGCTTCATTAAGTTTATACGTATTAGATAGCTCCGTGATAGTCTGGCTCTATGTGCCCTCACAACCCCTCGATAAAGAAAAATTGTTTACTCACCCCCTAGAGTGGGGAATCCCATTATCACTACTATAGAATATTTTTTTTAAATTTGTTTGTGTCTATTATTACTTTTCTGTTATGTTTTTACCTATTATTTTGTATTTGTTAATTTTTCAACCCTCAAATATATATCTTAAAATTGTTTTTTAAAAAAATGTGTCTATTTATTATTTTGTATTTTATTTTATATTTGTTAACTTTTCAACCCCTCAAATACAGAATGATCAAATTAGTATCGTCTAAATCGTCCAGATTTAACTCTGTTTCAATATTTTGCCAACACAATATTTTTGTTCTCGCCCTTAATTATTACAACAATCGTTGGGAGCGAGCCTCCGGGCGAAATTTCCAGCAGAGACGTGTATTCGAAACGGCTGTAGCTCACCCTGCCACCCCCGATATTGGATGTCGGCCATATACTCGGTGATACGGTAGATACTATCGGAGGTGGTCGAAAACACGCGTGCGAGCTCGTCGAGAGTTTTTCGCGACGAGGCGGAGACCCTCGAAAATGGGGGAGTCCCGGGGAAACATTTCGTTACAAACGAGCTTGTTTCGGCGTTGAACGGGCGATGACGAGTTTTGGAAACGCCCGGGACAGCCTTCGTCGACAGAGGGAAAAGCACCAACGCCCCCCCGCGTACCGAGAATATTCCGCGTTTTGTGTTTTGATAAACGACCTCCGGAGAATTAAATTCCCTCCCCCACCCCAAAGAGTCGCCCTTTCCCTATTTTTGCCCTTTTTCTCGTTTTCGACCGGACCCCCCCTTCCCCCCTGCAGTCTCTTTTTCTCGGCGTTGCCTGTAACGCAGCCACGGGCCACGTCCAGAACGTAACACAGATTAATCTGTTTGTTGATCCTATTCCCCTGCGCTTTTTCTCCGGCCCTCCAACCCCGTTTTCCTCCCTTTCCACGCCCCCCTCCACCCCCTCGCGTCCGCGAGATTTTCTCTTTCGTCCGTCGTCCAGCTGCGCTCCTCCGGATTTCCCCGTCTCTCCTCGCGAGCGATGCCTGGCGTTTCATCATCCCCCCCCCCCCCAACGTGTGTGTATTTTTCCACCCCCGTCCTTTCTTCGTTTTCTTTATTTTTTCTCCCCCGCCGCTACACGGTGTCTCCGGAACGCTCCACTGACACTCATTACCAATGCGGTGCAGCGCGCTTATATAGCAACCGAGGGGTCACTCGATCGCTTGCGAGAGAGTCGAGAGCGTGGCCCTCTGGCGGCAAACGCGGTGAAAATTTCATCAGCGACAGATTGTACTCGATATATGTGACACTCTGGTCATTTTTATTATGATCGTAAATAACCCACGGGAACATTCGAACTGGAAGTCATAAACTTTCCAGCTGCTCGTTGCACCAATAACAACACTGGGTTTGTACCATCCAGGGCTACAAATCAAATCCACCGAATAAATTGTTAACCTCGAATTTTTATTCAAGACCTGGCTCGAAGAGATTTTGGAACATCAGTGGTCGATTGCTTTCGAGATGCTCGGGGGTTCCCTTAGCGCCAAAGGGGCGAGTTTTTAATCTAGGATCGATCGCACGAAAATATTGAATTTGTCGCTATAACTCGACTGCTTAACTGCGCTAGGATCGACGCGAGTTTCAATAGCGATAGCCGTGGATCAACTTGACGGATTGTGATCCGGGGAGGGAAATCCCACGTTCGGATCTCCTGCGGATTTACATTTTATTTTTATTTATTTCCATAACAAATCTCTTCGCGCTTCGTATCAAATTCTATTTCGTATTATTAAACTGGTACTGGGGAAGTCCACCGAAATTAAAGAGTTTGGTAAATTAATTTTACCAATGGGGGTGCAGGATTATTTTGTAAATTTCCCTAAACAATTGAAAATTGATAGTAAATTGTCTTGAAATTACTTTATTCTCACATTTCTGTAATTATAATTATTCTATTCTGTGTATTATTTTGAATGTTTAAAAACACTTGTAGAAATTTTGTTTTTATTCAATTTAATTGTAAAATATGAATTTTTTATTAGCAAACAAGCCTCATCACACCTTGTGTTTTTGACGTTTATTAGATTTAAATATATTGGAAATGAAGAAAAATAAATTTTGATATATTTATTTTATTTTTGTAGTCCAAAAAAACTTCAATAAAACAATTATTCTATTTTACTATTTTTAATTTGTATATACATATAAATGCACTTGTAGAAATTTTTTTTGATTAAATTTAATTGTGTTTGTAAATGTGAATTTTTTATAAGTAAATAAGCCTAATCAACCCCTTGTGTTTTTGATGTTTATAAAATTTAAACATTTTGGAAATGAAGAAAAGTAAATTTTGATACGTTTATTTTATTTTTCTGTTGATTAAATTTAATTGTATTTAGAAATAAGAATTTTTTATTTTCACAAGCAAACAAACCACATCAACCCTTGTGATTTTTATGTTTATCAAATTTAACCATTTTGGAAATGAATAAGAGTAAATTTTGATAAGTTTATTTTACTTTTGTGATCTAAAAACCCGATGAAACAATTTCCCTCCCTAAAAACAGAAAGAAAGGCATTCCGTAAGGGATGCACGCACCCCTTTGCCTGACGCCGTTTCTTTGTGGGAGAAACGGGGGTGGCGAAAGAGGAAAAGGAGAACGAAAGGGGCAGTAGGCGAAATTTTCGGCTCCATCGACAGAAACGCTTAATGGAGCGCCCGTTAATGAAACGGGGGGGAGTGCAAAAGGGGGGGTGGAAAGAGTTCGTTTTATTTTTATTTTTTTTCTCCGAATGCCGATGACCCGAGGAACAAAGGGTGGCGAATGCACGTTTCTGAACGGGCCACGAGAAAAATTGATCGTTCACCTCTCTCTGGCCCGCCTCGCAAGAGAAAGCGACGACGGGGCGCAATTAAGATCAAAAGTTCGTCTATCGACTCTACTTAATGAGCAGGCCTTCGCGCGAGAGACGCCTTTCCAAGGATGTTTCTCAGAAGCTGCATAAAATTAGCGATGCTCCTTTCTCCGCCCGGAGCAACGGAATAATACGTTTAATCGCCGCTGGAAAAAAGTCGTTTCCATGCGGAGCGACGCCCCGCTCCAAGACAACGTGCCTGGAGAAACAACCTCCTTTATTCGTTTGTTTCGTTGCCTTTTTTTGACAAATTCTTCCGCGTACTTTTGGAATTATTAAAACATTCTTACCAATTCAAAAATGGGGTATATTGAATTTAATTGAAATTTTATTAGTGATTTAAATTGTAAATTTGATTAAAAAGACACCCAATGGATAA